CAAGAAATACACATTTTCTTGATTTGGGGTCAAGTTTTTGATATATTGCTCTCAATGGTGGAGGAAAAGCAAAGTGAGCCAAAAGCCTAGAGCTCAAGATACATAGGTGCATGATTGTATAAGAGCTCAAAAGGTTAATTTTTGGTGAAGGTAATCGATTTATTATATAAATATCATGTGACGGTGTAGAAGCAAATTTTTTTGGATATACTAGATTGAGAAAAAGGCTACATGTAACATTAAGCATATGATGATGTTTTATTTCCATAACAAAATTTTGTTACAGGGTTTATATGCATGATGTGTGGTGAATTATACCAAATTCGTTATATAATTCATTATAAGCAAACTCTTATCCATTCTTAGATCTAATATGATTTTAAAAGTTGAGCCAAATTGATTTTGAATCAAAGTAATGAAATTGGACAACAAAGGTCTAGTTTTAGTTTTACTCTTCATAAGAAATAAGCATGTGTGCCTAATGAAATCATCTACAATGGTGAGAAAGTATTTGTGACTATGAATGGATGGGGTGGCAAAAGGATCCCATATATCAAAATGAATTAAATCAAATGCATGTAAAGAGACAATATTACTTTGTGAAAAAGGAAGTTTATGTTGTTTAGCAAGGTGACAAGAGTCACAAATTTTATTACTACCAAAGGTAATGTCTTACAAATGTGTTTAAGAACCTTACTAGACAATGCCCAAATTTGCAATGCCAAAGATCCATGTTTGAGTTAATAGGTGCAACTTGAGAATTATTTACTGTAACGGAAGGAGCCTATTGGCCACGTGGATCGGCCACGTGGACCGGCACGTCATATCCTATCAAATATTGACGCAGCTATCACTTCGGCTCGGCAAGGGACCGAGAACCGTATCCTCTCCCTATCGGCTCGGCCAAACGCCAAAAATGACGTCTCGGCCGTTTCGTATCGGCTCGGCCCAAGGTCAACAGAGACTGAATAATTAGAATGACGATCATGATTAATAAGGGACAACACGTAATTTAGGCATAACCAGCCGATTAACATCGTATTACCTAATTTGGTAAATGTTAGAGAAGGCCCACCATGCTCAGGCCCATGACAGGTAGTATAAATAAGTCACATGTAACGAGGTATGTCACTGTTTAATTATTACTCTTGAAAATCGTGCTTGTCTTGACTTGAGCGTCGGAGTGCCTTTTGCAGGTACCTCCCCCCTCTGAAGCATCTACCCGAAACTCTCGTTTGATCCTCCAGTTACTAGAAGATTACGAGTGTATCTTCAGACAGGTACATTTTGGCGCCCACCGTGGAGCCGAACCGATAGCTTTTGAAGAAGACAGACTGAGTACTATTTCGAAGAGACATCATGGCAAAGACAAGAAGAACACACACTGAAGACCACCGATCCAAAGATGAGCACTAATTTGAAGCGGACAATGCCGAGATGGTTGACGAGACCAACATGGCCGAGATGGTACGACAACTGAAGGAGGAAATGGCCGCCATGAAGCAACAACAAGAGAAAGACGCTTGTGAGATGGCTGCCTTGAGGGAGGAGAACACCGCCCTGAAAAACTTAAACCAGGATCCCACATGGAAACCCTCCGAGCAGACTCACACTCAGGGGTCGTTCCACTCCCACGGACATCATACTTCTCTCCCTCACACTTCTACCGTCGCCCCTAGAAACCATGCCTCGACTGCCCAAGTAACCGGCCGACTCGCATATGCTCCGCCGACCGGAGCACATCAACATCCTTTCACCTCAAACATCATGCAATCCTCCCTTCTCGACCATTGGAAGTCCTTCCCGTTAGATAAGTATGACGGAACCACCGACCCCGACGAGCACGTCGACATTTTCCTCCCCCAAGTCACTCCCAGCCCCACCGACGATGCCGCCCTATGTCGTATCTTCCCAACATCTTTGAAGGGAAGAGCATTGAGTTGGTTCACTCGTCTCCCGGCCAACTTGATCAACTCTTTTAACACACTAACATCCCAGTTCACCATCGAGTTTACCACCAGCCGGCCTCACCAACTGACCTCCCTCGCGCTGGTGAGCATAAGACAAGAGAAGAAGGAATCCCTTCGGACCTTCATGAGCCGATTCAACAAAGAAGCTCTTGAAATCCGAGACCTGAATCCGGCCGTCGCCCTTCATCATTTGACTACAGCTCTGAAGCTGGGGCCGTTTGCTAACAGTATCTACAAGAATCCCCCGTCTGACATGGACGATTTGAGACGCCGCGCCGACAAATATATGTAGATGGAGGAACTTGCAGAATTCCGCAATCAGGCCAGGGCAGAGGTAGTGGCCAAAGTCGAGAAGCCGGCAGAGAGCTCTTTCCAGAGCCACCCCAAGGACCTCGTCCCAAGAGACAAACCCGTTCGCGAACCAAGGTACACTCACTACACCCTATTAAACACTAGCCGATCGGCTGTACTGGACCAAGCACTTGCTTCGGAAGTACTGGCAGTACCAAAACGAGCCTCGACCCCTCCACGTGCCGACACAACCAAGTCCTGCAAATATCATCGCAATTGGGGTCACTCGACCGAAGAGTGTGCAGCTCTGAAAGACAAGATTGAAGACTTAATCAAACAAGGGCAGTTCCAACATTTTGTCGACCGACCTCGTTCTCCCTGATATGATGATCGTCGGCATCATCGAGATCAGCCTGACCGAGACAGATCCGACAGGCGTCCCTACAGGGAACGAAGCCGATCGAGGGGCCCAAAGGAAGACGAGCCGACAACCCAACCCCAAAGGGTCATCAATACTATCGTCGGCGGATTCGCAGGCGGAGGCTCCACCTCCTCAGCACAAAAGAGACATTTGTGAGCTGTCCAAACTGTCCACGTGGTTGAACGCACCTAACAGAGATTGCCGGCCGTCACATTCACCGAGGCTGACTTTAAGGGCATTGATCCTGACCAGGACGACCCCATGGTCATCAGCGTCGAGATCCACAACTGCACTATTTGGAAGACGTTGGTCGATCAGGGAAGCTCGGCCGATATCCTCTACTGGAATACCTTCAAACAACTCGGCATCCCGGAGGCCAAGTTGATCCCCTATAACGAGCCTTTGGTTGGATTCTCTGGTGAACGTGTCCAAACCAAAGGGCACATCAAGTTATCCACTTGCTTTTGCTTCGATGGAGCCGAAACCCGAGACATCCCGGTCAAGTACGTTGTTGTGCATGCCAACACGTCATATAACATCCTTCTCGGAAGGCCTTCCCTCAACAAGCTAGGTGCGATCGTGTCAACTCCACACTTATCCATGAAATTCCCTTCCGAGTCAGGCCGGATCATTACAGTCCATGCCGATCAGAAAGTGGTTAGGGAGTGTTATTTCGCTAGTCTTTGGTTGCCTCGTCTTGAAACGATCGAGCCGCGTGGAGTGAAACGTGTTCATACGGTAGCGCAAAACCTTGAAACGATAGTGGACTTTGACCCTCGAATGGAGCAGGACGAGAGGGTCGAGCCGATTGAGGACCGACATCCAATTGTTATCGGGCCAACCGAACTACACGTGACCTACCTGGGCTCTAACCTGTCCGAGACTGAAAAGCGTGAAATCAGACAAGTTGTTAGGAAAAACAAAGACTTATTCGCGTGGCGGCCGACCGATATGCCAGGGATCGACCCAAACTTCTTGTGCCACAAGCTCTCAGTGTGCCGGGAGGCGAAGTCGGTGGCCCAACGAAAAAGAAAAATGGGGGAAGAAAGGAAAAAGGCAGTTGAAGCATAGGCATCCAAGCTCTTGGAAGCGGGTTTCATTCGAGAAATCTAGTACACAACCTGGTTGGCCAACTTGTCATGGTCAAAAAGTCAAACGGCAAGTGGAAAATGTGCACCGATTACACAGACTTGAACAAGGCATGTCCCAAGGATATCTATCCGTTGCCGAACATAGACCGATTGGTTGATGGAGCGGCCAACCATAAGTTCTTAACCTTTCTCGACGCGTACTCAGGTTATAATCAAATCCGTATGCACCCCCGAGACGAGGACAAAACAGCATTCGTCATAGAATCCGCCAACTATTGTTACCAAGTGATGTTTTTTGGCCTGAAAAATGCCGGGGCCACATATCAACGACTTATGGACAAGATCTTCGGTGGTCAGATTGGGAAGAATATGGAAGTTTATGTAGATGACATGGTGGTCAAATCGACCGACACACTTTCTCATGTCGCCGACCTGGCTAAAGTTTTCCATGCACTTCGGAAACACCAGATGAGACTCAACCCGGATAAATGTGTGTTCGGCGTCTCGGGCGGCAAGTTCCTAGGCTTCATGCTATCAAGTCGAGGCATCGAAGCTAACCCAGATAAATGCCAAGCTATCATCGATATGAGAAGCGCATCAAACTTAAAAGAGGTCCAAAAAGGAAAATCGAAACCTCCAAGCCGATCGATATGACTGACATCGTTGTCTCGTTTCCTACCATGTATGGCCGAAACCTCCAAGCCGATTCTCGGTCTTCTGAAAAAGGCAAATCGATTTCAATGGACAGATGAATGTGAAACATCTTGTCAACTCTTCAAGGAACGGCTCGGCACCCCGCCTGTGCTGGCCAAGCCGATTCCCGGCCGAGAAGTAATGTTGTACTTGGGCGGTTTCTGGCGAGGCCATAAGCGCCGACATGATACAAGAACAAGACAGACAACAACAACTTGTATACTTCATAAGCCGGGAGCTTCAGGATGCCGAGCGCCGATACCAACTCTTGGAAAAGGTGGCGTTGGGACTCATATATGCTGTTAGGCGCCTTCGGCAATACTTCCAGAGCCACACAGTGGTGGTTCGAACCGATTGCCCAATTGCAAAAGTGCTGCAAAAACCAGAATTGGTCGGCCGAATGATGGCATGGTCAATCAAACTATCCGAGTTTGACATCCATTTTGAACCCAGGGGGCCATCAAGTCACAAAGCTTAACCGACTTCGTCAATGAACTATCACCACTCGACCATTTTGAAGACAGTACTTGGACAATGCGCGTAGACGGCTCCTCCAACGATCAAGGTAGCGATGTCGAAATCATCTTGGAGAGCCCATTTAGCATTACCTTGGAACAATCACTGCGATTCGGCTTCCGGGCATCCAACAACCAAGCTGAGTACGAAGCTTTATTAGCCGGGATGAGATTGGCGGCCGAGATGGGGGTGAGAAAAATCACATGCTGGACCGATTTGAAAGTTGTCACCGAACAAGTGAACGACAACTTTCAAGTAAAGGACGCCAATCTGCTTAAATATTACCATCTCTTCCGAGGGATAAGCAACCAGTTCCAAGAGATACACGTTAAGGACACGCCACGTGGGAATAACGAGAGAGCCGACCAGTTGGCTCGGCTGGCAAGTAGTCGCAAGCCGGGACAACTCCAGTCAACAATACATTTGGAATTGCCTACCCCGAGTGTCACACAGGAATGCATGCCGGTAGATGGAGCTTTACAATCTTGGATGACTGATATTTGGAATTTCATTGTTAACGGCTCAGAACCGGCCGATCCGACCGAGTCTAGAAAGATCCAGACTCAAGCAGCACGCTACTCCGTGGTAGCTAGAGAACTATACCAACGAGGGTTCTCCACACCCTTGTTGAAGTGCATTGACCAACAACAAGCCGAGTATGTCATCCGAGAGGTTCAGGACGGCATATGCGGGTCCCACTCTGGCAGAAGGACGCTCTCCGCCAAGATCCTTAGAGCCGGTTACTATTGGCCGACGCTAAAGTTGGACTGTGCCGATTATGTGAAAAAATGCGTTCAATGTCAGAAGCACGGGAACCTCATTCATGCCTCGGCCACCGAATTGCACAGCATCAGCTCCCCTTGGCCGTTCGCCTTATGGGGCATAGATATACTCGGTTCGTTCCCTCTTGCCAAAGGTCAATGCAAGTTTCTGATCATAGCTGTGGATTATTTCACCAAGTGGATAGAGGCCGAGCCGCTCACCTATATCACCGCTGCTAATGTCCAAAAGTTCGTGTGGAAAAACATCATTACCCGGTTTGGTATTCCTCACACACTCATCTCCGACAACAGGCTCCAATTTACGGACAAAAAGTTCAACACCTTGCTTGAGAATCTCGACGTGCGGCATCGGTTCACGTCTGTCGAACACCCCCAGTCCAATGGCCTGGCCGAGGCAGCCAACAAAGTTATCCTTAATGAGTTGAAGAAACGGCTCGACTCGGCCAAAGGAACGTGGGCCGAAGAGCTCCATGAAGTCCTCTGGGCGTACAGATGCACACCCCAATCAAGCACAAAAGAGACTCCGTTTCGATTAACATACGAAACGGATGCTATGATACTAGTCAAAGTAGGTGAACCTTCATTCCGACGGACGCACTTTCATGAAGATTCTAACGATGGGGCAATCCGAGCCGAACTTGATATCTTGGATGAAACCCGAGATAAGGCACAGATCGTAGCTGAAGCGTGCAAACAGAGAATGACTCGGCGCTTTAAGTCCAAGTTGACGCCAAGAAAATTTCAAGAGGGTGACCTTGTTTGGAGGGTAGCTGGTTCGGCCCGGCGTAACCCGACCGAAGGAAAGTTGGCGGCAAACTGGGATGGCCCGTTCCGAGTACGACATGCTCTCCACAACGGCGCGTACAAACTGGAGGAACTGTCTGGCAAAGTCATCCCACGAACATGGAACTCCACCCATTTGAAGACTTATTACAGCTAGGATTCAATTCATGTACATGCGTGTAAATGTTTTAGGATGCACTCTTTTCCTTGAACCAGTCTTTTTTCCTCTTAAAAAATTGTGAAAAGAGGTTTTGGCCAGCAAGGTTTTTGATGAGGCATCCAATCATTAATGACAATATAATTCAGCTATCTATGACTCATTTATTTTTGCACAAATTTAGTCTTCCCTCCCGAGAAACCCTCTCGGCCAAGGATGTGACTTTATTTCAAATTACAAGTCTTCCCTCCCGAGAAACCCTCTCGGCCAAGGACGTGGCTTTATTTCAAGTTTTAAGTCTCCCCTCCCGAGATCCCTCTCGGCTAAGGATGTGGCTTTCAAATTACAAGTCTTCCCTCCCGAGAAACCCTCTCGGCCAAGGACGTGGCTTTATTACAAGTTTTAAGTCTTCCCTCCCGAGATCCGTCTCGGCTAAGGATGTGGCTTTCAAATTACAAGTCTTCCCTCCCGAGAATCCTTTCGGCCAAGGATGTGACTTTATTTCAAATTTTTAAGTCTTCCCTCCCGAGAATCCTCTCGGCCAAGGATGTGACTTTATTTCAAATTTTAAGTCTTCCCTCCCGAGATTCCTCTCGGCCAAGGATGTGACTAATTATCCTACAAGTCTTCCCTCCCGAGAATTCTCTCGGCCAAGGATGTGGCTTTAATTATTTTAAGTCTTCCCCTTCGAGACTCTCCTCAACCCGGACGCGACACGTTCGTATAAACTAAACTACACTCGGCACGATTTGATTTGCTACATCAATGTTCGTTTGGAATATGCAATAATTGACGAGAACCAAAGTAGACTGCATTGAAAAACAAAAGGGCTCTACCGGCCTAGAATTACAAAAAGTTAAAGGGCTCTGTCGGCCCCTGCATACAAAATTAACAAAGAAATAACCCTAGGATTCAGCCTCGGGCTCCCCTTGGACCGGTGCCTCTTGCTCGGCCACTTCTTCATACACCTGTTCGTTACCATTCGGCCCGGCTTGGGGACGAACAGGAGCTTCAGCATCCGGCTGTTCATTCGGAGGAATTTGTGTCAAGTTGACGAATTTCCCCCGATAGAAGTCCATTGACATGTTGAACTGAAAGTCTGCCGGGAGGCTTCCGAAGTGCTGGGACTGGCGTGCCGCTTGAGCGATGTCGGCCTCGTGCTGAGAGAGAACCTTGCTCCTAGCTCTCTCTCTATATGCGCCAAAAACCTTCTTCTCGACCTCCAAATCCCCAGACAACTTGGCCGACTTCTCAGCCTCAGCCTTCAACGAATTCTCCAGCCATTGCACCTGTAAAGTCAGGTCGTCATTCAGACGGCCCTGCCGGTCCAGCTCTGCTTCACATTTTTTGCCGTGTCCTTGCACCTCGGGCAGGGCAGCCAAAGCCTCTTGAACGGACCGCTTTGACTCAGTCAGCTTTCGGCGCAGCTCTTCAGCCTCGGTGTTTGGCTGCATCATAAGATTCTGAGCTAAGGCCAAGGCGCGTGCTTGGAACTCGTAGAAGAAGGTCCACTTGTGGGACGAACTCATCTGGCCCAGCATCGCCTGCCCTGCCTCTGAGGTCAGGTCTTGGCTAAAATAATCTTGCACACTAACATTGGAGGCTAGAAAGCTCGGGCTCACCAGCCCTTGAGGAGCCACTAGTACGGGCAACCTTTGTTGCCTTTGCCTCCGCAACTCGACCTCGGCCCTCGCCTCCTCGGCCTTCCTCTTAACCACCCTCGCCTTGTAGGCGTCCTGGGTGTTCTTCTCCTTCGACTGCGGTTGGGGCCGGGCCGTTTCACGAGCCAGAGTCCGATTATCCCAATGCCCAGTTGGCGCCGGTGTGGCAACTCGGCCACGAATCAAGTTGCTGATATCCAAGTCGTCACTCCCACAGCTCGTCATGATGCCTTCACAAACATTAGTCAAAATCAATGGCAACGCAGGAATTCAAATACAAGACAGATGTTATACCAATCAAATCATCAAGCGGTTGAGAGGACTTCATCAGCCGAACGAGCTCTCGGCACGGCAAAGGCCGAGGTAACTTCTCTAGGACGTTCAAACTGGCTCGCTCCTCTGGAGACATCTTGGACTTGGATACAACGTCATATTTCCTTGGCGCCCGAGTCCAATACAGCGGGAATAACGACCTCTCTTCGGCATCAAAGAAGTATTTGTTGCCGTTAGCAGGCCAGATCATAACCTTGAAAAACCCTACTTTAAACCTTTTGTATGATGTCGTGAATGGTTGGAGTAAGCAGTTTTCTCCCTGAAATAGAGAAAGCCACTTCGCTTTCTTCGTCGGCCGAGAGGCGTAATAGTACAAGAAAAGGTGGGGTGTCGGCTCGATGTCGAGCGCTATACACAATTGTCGAAAACCCTGCATCGCGGCCCAACTGTTCGGATGAAGCTGCATCAGCGCCACATTCAGTAGCCGAAGCACTCCCATAAGAAACTTGTCAAAAGGAAGAGTAACTCCCAAATCTCTAACCAGATAATCATATACAAAAAAGAAGTTATATTTACACTTCTCTCGGCCAAGAAAAACAAAATCAGAATCTTATGACCCATCGTTTCGGCACGGCTCGAAGAAGAAACTGGACGGCACCTCATCCTCCGGAAGGGTCACGAAGTTCTCGGCGTCAAACAGCAAAGCAATCGAACTCTTATCAGTATAACGTGAGAATACGCTACCCACCTCTCCGTGCACCCACCTATAGCAGGGGACTTCTATCGAGCCGAAACAGCGAGAGGATGAGCCGACTTTGCGAGTGCTCGGTCGGCCTTCAACCATCTCAAGGGAAGAAGCTTCCTCCACGCTGCGGGAGTGTTCGAACCCTTCAACGATCTCAACACTAGCCGACTTGTTTGATGTCGAGGCAGAAACCCCGGGCCGATCTGATGAGGTCCGAGAGCTCGTATCGGCAGAGCCATTCCTAGCATCCCTAGAGGAGCCAGCCTGTGAAAACCTATCATTGGTACTCTTTTCTGAATCAACCATAGAAACGTACCTTGAAATGAAGTCTTAGTCGTTAGCTAGCACTCGATCAACCTGTGTCGGCTCGGAGCAGATGAAGACTAGAGCAAGTAAACGTATCGAATTGGTCCCCACCACCCCTATTTATAGCGCTTCCAGGAAGCACATACCAACCGTCACACCCCTATGAACCGTTGGATCAACTTGATCCAACGATCCACAAGCCACGCCTTTTCAAATCCCACGTTTAAATGTTCAATGGTTACAACCCTCCACGTTCCTGCATTAATGCTTAACGGTTATAACCCTTCGCGTTCCCACGATTAATGCCCAACGGTTAAAATTCCATACTCAAACCCAATCGTCACAACTACAAAGTCATTTCTACCCTTTGCGTCGTTCCACGTGGACCGGCACGTCATATCCTATCAGATATTGACGCAGCTCTCACTTCGGCTCGGCAAGGGACTGAGAACCGTATCCTCTCCCTATCGGCTCGGCCAAACGCCGAAAATGACGTCTCGGCCGTTCCGTATCGGCTCGGCCCAAGGTCAACAGAGACAGAATAATTAGAATGACAATCATGATTAACAAGGGACAACACACAATTTAGGCATAACCAGCTGATTAACATCGTATTACCTAATTTGGTAAATGTCAGAGAAGGTCCACCATGCTCAGGCCCATGATAGGTAGTATAAATAAGTCACACGTAACGAGGTATGTCACTGTTCAATTATTACTCTTGAGAATCGTGCTTGTTTTGACTTGAGCGTCGGAGTGCCTTTTGCAGGTACCTCCCCCCTCTGAAGCATCTACCCGAAACTCTTGTTCGGCCCTCCAGTTACTAGAAGATTACGAGTGTATCTTCAGACAGGTACATTTACAAAAACTGGATTGGTCAATGGAGAAACTCTCGATTGTTGTAAACATTAAAGTTCATCATGCAACTCAACACGTCCAATCATCTTTGATGTAACATTTTCCTAGATTTGACAAAATAAAATGTGACAAAATCTATAGATATATACAAGTAGAACTCACTCAAAAAGTAACTTTTTACATGTGTCAACAAACTAGCCATTCACCATTTTAATCAATTTTTTAAATTTAACCACAAAAGGAATAACCAAATGTTAATTTTCACAAAGCACTATTTTTCCTAACAATACTAACGTGGCACCTGTAGGGAATGAGAAACAATTAATTAACCTGATAAACATGTATAATTACTTCTAGTCCAAATAAAACAAAAAGAACTTAACATAAAAAGCCCAAATAAAAGCCAACTTTTTTCATCTTTGTAACTCAAAAGCACAAATTTTGTACTGCCAATACATGTCTATGTGAAACTAAAAGCAAAAGCAAAAGGCAACACTTTCTCAAAATTGGAACCTGCAAAACTTGAGAAATAAAAGTAAAAGACCCACTTTCAAGGGAAGGTTTTGCTTGACAATAGCAAATCTTGGTACAAAGATAAAACACGAATTCTTTTTAGTTAATTTCTAATTCATGAAAACATAATTGATTTCTTCTATACATATCTCATTATTTGATAACCATAAATCTGAATGTTTTGAAAATAACACTACTCAATTTTGAATATGACATTTTTCATTATATCTCAGTCAGGTTCAATGAAAACCATTTTGACACTTACTTTAAAGATGGTTGTCAAACATTCTTAAAGAAGTGACAAGCTAGATCTTCCATGCGTGAACCATAAATTGTCAAAGGAAATGCAAGAAAAAGTCACCAATAAAAAAATTGTGAGATATCAAATGGTGTCATTAACCTTGCAAGATCTATCAGAGGTTATTGTGGCAACATCGGCTTGTGCCGGTCCATTCTTTGTTAGCTATGATTTCCTATCTAATTCCCAGTTTTATCCTTTCATACACACACCTTAGTTACTATCAAGGTCCTATCTCTATATAATTAAGGAAAAATTAAGATCCTAAAATCTAATACAATAATTCTTAACAGAATCTACACTATAAGAAAAACGTAAATTTTCGATATTCATCGATAAAAAGGAA